TTCTCTGGTTTATGTGCCACATGAGCTTTGTGGTAACTTCCCTACCTCCAAACTCTATCCCTAATATTAATTGAGTTATGAATTTTACCAAAGGTTTTTGCCATCATTTCTTCATTTTTCACTGCTGTAACTTCCCCATCATTTAATACTGGGTGCCCATATTCTCTTATAATTGTATTCATCCTTCTGATCATTGACCATACCTTATCAATTTCTGTCTCTCTCCCCACAGAATTACAAAAGCCCCTCCAACTGTCCCCCGTTGCATTTTAATGGTTTTTCTTACATTAGCTTGTGACTTTTTATATTCAGCAGGATTCTGATAATTCTGATTTCTTTTTAACATTTTAAAAGCTTTATTTCAGCACTTCATCATATTCCTTTGTCCACCAGTATACAATCTTTTTGCTTCTACCTCCGTTCACTTGACTTGAAAGGAATCCATGTTTATAAAGTCAACAAGAGCAATGTGCTGAGCTCATTGTGGACTTAAATTCTTTGTTGTGAGGTTCTGGTTGGTTTGAAAATATCATGTGATTCAGCAAATGACCTGCTTGATTTCTTTATTTTTTGATTATTTATGATAACAGCATTCAAAGAAGACAGATCTTTGCTCCATCGAAAGAGTTGCCTCAGGGGGACTTAGTGGCTCTCATGTAAAAAGTCCTCAGCAAAATTTTGGTTTCTGTCCAATTAAATAGATTCAAGTTTACTAACTAAAACAAGTTGTTGGGCAAAATACTTTTTATATGCCAGGGTTACACTATCAATTTCCACCTGAAGGCCACAGTCCAGGGTAAGTACAAGAATTTAAACAACAATCCTTTTGTAGTGAGTAACTGTATTACAAAGTGACTACTTTGGATAAAACATGTGAATATTTATTTATAAATAATTAAAAAATAAATATGAACACTGAAATCCTGCTATCATTGCGATACTAACAGGTCAAACACAATTTCTTGATAATAAATGGCTTCACCCAACCACTCCACAAGACACTAATTCTTGTAAACTAAATATAAAGAATGAAAGATTGG